AGGTAAGTGTGAGGTCAATCAACCACATCAGAATAAGTCGCACTTCCTTCACGTCATAACTATTATATGCCGAGAAATGTCACCACACTGCTGTCGTCCTTTCGTTCTTGAGCTATATCGGATATCTGGCAACCTCTCTGGCTCACGAACTGCCCTGCGCAGTTCTGCAGGAGAAATACCAACAGCTCCGCTGGATGGACCCAAGAGAACAAAAGACGATCCCAAGACTGGGGCTCAGTATTTGAAATACTACCGGGCCTTCTCGTGCGACTTGTTCCAAAATAAATTCGTTCGCACTGATGCTGCGCCGTTGGGCTGCATATCTGTCTTCTTGATGCCGTAAGTCCAAGTGCTTCACGGCCCGGAACTCCCAACTGCATCGTCCAGCTCATCAAACTTCCATTCTGTCGAATTTTCCCAAGGTTCACGGATGAACTCATCAGCGAGTATCCGTCTTTTCAGAGAAACGTTGATCGAGTTGCCAACGCAGAAAGTTGTGATAAGGGGTTAGCCAAGGCCGGTGCTAGAATCCATGCCAAATACACTTTCAGCGCAAATAGCTCGAGCTCCAGCAGAGGCATCAATCCCAGGGCAACTCTATCCGCAAGAAACAACTTGAGAACACAGCTTCTGTATTCTGCCTTTGCCTGGGGGGCTTCGTGGGCCAGAACGTAACCATCCATGGAAGATATCCGGAAATCCCGAATGTCCCTGATCGTAGATGTTGATTCTTGTACTTGATTGGAAGTCAAAGGCCGAACGATCTGTTCAGGTCTCTTCCGGAGCTTCTGTATAGCCTTGAAATAGATGAAATCGGAAATGCTTGACAGGGTCAAAGCAGGGGGGGGGGGTTTCAGGGCGAACTTTGGCAAGAGCTCGGGGCGAGACATCCATATCGTGGAGCTCTCTTGAAATTCGCTGAAGAAAGACTCCAAGTCGTGGGCATAGTGAACGAATCTCGAGTAGAATACCGGTGTGAGCACCTTCAGCTCCAAAGTCTCAACGTCTTGGTCTCCGGACATGGCGGAAGGAGAAAGAAACAACGAGCTTGTATCGGGAATGCCACCCGGAACGTACTTCAACGCGAGTGGGTACGACGACTGCTCAACGAGGTACCGCAAGTATCTCCGAAAGATAGGCTCAAGGGTGCGCTCACTCGCGTCGGCATTTCGTCCTATGTTCTCTTTCAGGGGTTCGGGTCTGAACCACACGTGAAGCTTGCGTCGGAAGAAGAGTGCGCCGGCTTCTTTCAGAATCCTGGGGAACGTAACAAACCCAACCCACCACCAAGAGACCAGGAACTTGACCTTCTCGAACCATGTCATGGTGGATGGATCGAGAGCGGGCCCTTCTGGGAACAATCTGGCAACCAACTTTCCATGTCCCTTGGATGATATCAGATTGATCGTGTTGTTGATGGGGCCGGCGCCTTCCATTCGAGGACTCAGTGGGTCGCTTGCCATCAGAGAGTAGGCACCTTTGCGAGAGTTGAAAGGAGAAACGTGAAAGTCCTTTGGCCATGAATGCTTCAGAACAGTGCGCGCGGGAGGTGTTGTATCATTTGCGATTTGTTTATCCGAGTCATCGCCTGGCGTGAGAAGGTACATACGACGCTCGTCGAAGGTGTTGTTGACTTCGAGGATCATCGCTGCCAAGGATTTATTGGAATCATAGAGATACCAAAACGAGACGGGGTTGAAGTGGTGGCCGAGAAATCGAGCAGCCGTGATCAAGTAGGCATATGGATAATCTGCTGGATTAGCTCCCTGTGGACTGACTGTTAGTGGGTATTCCTGGCCAGACCATTCAGGGAAACCAACCTCAGCTCGAAGATAATCGTCCAGCTTTCCCCGCAAGCCCAGCTTAGACTCGCCCCGGGCGAGGTAGTCAGCAGGGTCGACATTATACCAGCCCTTGTGTAGTCGTGGGGTTAGAGAGAACCACGAGGAAAGACCATGTTCGCTCTTGGCTCCCGCCGAGAGCATGCCTCCAGCATTTCCCTCCCAGCCAACAGGGACGCCAACTACCAGGTACGAGTATGAAAACGAATGCTTGTTGGGAAACATTCGCGAATGAGATGTCCTACCGGGGAATAAAAGTGGCTTTCCTGGTCCGTCCCACTTCGGGGTCTCCAGCCAGGTCCATGTTTGCCGAAACCACTGAAAGACTAGAAAACCGGGAATTGCTGCTCCGACGAGCTTTGCCGCGGTAGAGAAGAGGTCGAGGCCGAAACGGCCGGCCCATATCTCCGGATACCGGATCAAGGTGAGAGAAATCAAGAGGGCCGGGTTGAGACGACCAAACAACAGCGCCAAAGCCAAGGCAGTGTGGGAACCCAGTCTCGCAAGATCCATGAAGGCGGAAAGGCCAGCCATGGCCTGAAGAGTGAGGAATGGGAAGGAAGAGTAACCGGAAAAGAAATGAGAGCAAGGACAGAACGAGACCTGTGTGGTTTATCTTGTCATATGGTGTTCTCGGAATCACAGGAACTTTTGGAAGCTGTGTCCAGTGGGTTTAAACATGTGGAAAAGTCAAAATACCAAGACACATGATCGATCGTGGGATCAAAGCTAGGCCACCGGTATCGAGTCGACTGCTGGGTTTAGATGGAAGTGAATTGGCCTTGACGGGGAATCTTCTGCAATTGAAGCAATATCACGGCGTGAACATAGCATTGGTCACCGCGACCTCGAAGACGGGACCGGTCAACAACATCAGGAAGGCACGGAGTGGTTCATGAGACGTGCATCCGATGTCGAGCCGTCATGGCGGCTCATGCCCGAAACTCTGATCATCGGAGAACCGACAAAGAGCCGGTGCGTACATTCTCGACCCATCAGACGAATATTTTGTAGACTAGCGGCCCAAGCGCCCCAGGTGTTGGTGCTTACAGATTAAGGTTAGCGCGAGAATGGTCCAGCCCCAGTGTGGCGGGGGCTTCATGCTGGCCGGACGAGTCACTCGCCTTTCGACAGTGGCCGATTGCCTTCCACGCAACAGAGGGACCTATTTAACACCTGTTGCGCCGTTGACCTGGACTCCTGGAGGAAGCAACCTTTCCATTCTGCCCCAATAATATTATCTGTTATCTTCAGCACGTCCTGCTGAACAATAAACAACAAACACATCCAAGCAAGTGTCTTTGTCTACGAGTCCCGTATCGCAACTTGTCATTACAAGTTACCCCGCCACTTTCAAATAAGTCGCATCAGAAACCGCCCTTCGAGCAATCTCCAACACACACACCATTCCCTCAACCCAACACCCGAAGCAGTATTCAAAATGTCTGGCTGGGACGACGACGTCAAGATTGGCAAGAATGTGGCCCGCGGTGCTGGTGGTCCTCGCGAGACCGTCATCAAGGGCAAGGCTGCTCTGAACGCCGCTGCCCGAAGCGGTAACATTGTCGCCACAGAAAAGAAATATGCAGCAGGCAACGCAGTATGTGACTTCAGCACCCCCGAAGCATGCGATATTTTTAACTGACTTGTCACAACCAATAGGCTACCAAGCCCGCGGTAGAAGGGCAGCGCCTTACAATGGTCGACCGGTCTGATGACATCGTCAAGCCCAAGACGGTCGGAAAGGAGGTCGGCCAAGCCATCCAGAAGGGTCGTGCCGAATTCCAGCCCAAACCTTTGACACAGAAGGACCTGGCAACCAAGTGCAACACAACCCCCACGATCGTGGCCGACTTCGAGCGCGGAACAGCGGCGCCAGACCAGAAGGTCCTGGCTGCCATGGAGCGTGTCCTGAACATCAAGCTCCGAGGGTCTGATATTGGCTCGCCCAAGAATGGACCCAAGAAGAAGCCTGAGGAGAAGAAGAAATAAATTGGTAAAAACAAACGATCAGACACATCAAGGTGGTTGAAGAGGGGAACGGTCTCTTTCATTTGCTGCTACACCCATCCGACCTTTTTTTCCGGCGAGATACCGGCTTCCATTCCGTCATAGCCCTGAAACAAGGGCTCAAGCACGGGGAGAAAGGCCGCTGGTGGTCTTGAATCGCATGATTTGCATCAGGACATGGGCGACGATCAGATCATGGATTAATGAAGTTTTAGCGCGCCAGTTTTGCTTTGCGTCTTTTGTTTCCCTTCTTTCGTTATTTTCGACCCGGAAGGGGGAAATTAATGCTTCCAAGCTAGCACGACGAAACGACTGGACCTTGGGTAGGAGGTTTATGGATGATGGATTTTTCCCTTTTCTTCGCGGGTTCCTTTTAGTTATAGACGAACAGTCTCTGCTCACCAGAGGCTTCATAGAGGACAGACAGGACCAGAGCGGGAATAGAGACAACCTTATCTCATACGTATGACTTGGTCGTTGTTGACTCCTTGTCACGGCAATCTCTACTGGGGTATGATAACATGAACTGCATCCACATCACCATTTACTGTCTTTCCTTCTTAATGTCGAAAGTGTCGCAAACCCGTCTGGTCTGAACGGTATGCACAGAGAGAGGTGTCCTTCAGACTGAAAAGATCTGCAGCAGAACCAGCTACTCAAACATACCTGACAAGCATAAGTGTCAAACTTTTTGTCATCGAGTCATGCTTCTCCAAGTTCAGTATGCCGACAAGGCCGACCTACACAATACATAATTTTCTCCACATGACTTACCCCTTTGTTCCATAAGTCTGCTTGAGCCTGCCTCTTCATACAGCCCAGTTGCCTTCCGCTCAATCACCAATCGGAAGCCATTCTTGATTCAATCGGGTATGGTGTAGCGGTAACATCGTTGACTCTCACTTCTCAGAAGTGTCTGTTCTCTCAACAGCCCCGGGTTCGACTCCCGGTATCCGAGTCCTAATATCAACCATTCTTTTTGGCGGGTTTTCTTAGATGCATTATCCTTTTTTTTTTTTTCCCCTTTTAGGGCCATATCCCCATCCCAAAACCCCATTCGGGCGCTATAGAGTTTTAACCATACCGCCGTAACCCAAATACACACATGAGTGCTATTCTCCATCTTTACCCACATCGAATCACATCATAGGTTGCGTGGCCCAGTGGTTAAGGCATCTGCTTTACATACAGAAGCTTCATTTTCACCCGAGATCGGAGCAATAACATCTGAAATGTACGCAGAGGATCGCAGGTTCGAGCCCTGCCGCGATCATTTACTTTTGCATCCCATTCTTTGGGGGCTTGGGTTGTTTTTTTCTTTCATGCAGCACATCTCCTTCCAATATATCAATCACACCCGCATTGCTCAGTTTTTGGTGTTTGTCTATATCATGTACCCGTCTTTTCATCTCGGCTGCCCCTTTTGTGCTGCGCTTTTTATATCTATTCTATGAAACTTTTCAAGTTACGAATCATGCGCTGATGTTGCTTTATCAGTCTAGATAATGTATCTCGCTTTGACTTGTCAAGTATGGGATAGATCGATTACAGAAGTGATGCTACAACTGTTAACCACCCTTTGGAGTCGTGATATATCAGGGACAGACAGCAACGATGCAAGTAGCTTCTTTGAGGCACGCGATCCTAGACAAAGTTGAGCATCCAACAAATACCAATGTCGTGGAAAATTAAATAATAATTACTCTGATCAGGTTGTATTATCATATACAGATAAAGAGGAATGATTATGGTATATAAAAGGAGCTAGATACGGGGTATAAATGGGTTCATCGTCAAATGACAAGCGTGAAGTAGGGAATTATCGCAAAATGTGACAATCATCAAAGGACTAAAGAAACAATTATATGACCAAAGCCGCGGCAATGGCTATAACAGCAGCCATCACACTGCCTTTCCTCAATGTTTTATTCTTGACAGTGGCATTGGTGTTTAACGATGGCGTTGAGGCTGCGTGGGTACTACCAGCAGTACTCGGTGAGACGAGAGGAGTCAAGGTCGATGGGATGGTTGAATGCCCGGTGTCGTCGGCATCGGTATTGCCTGGCTGGGAACTCGGTGCAAGCAAGAGTCCAGTCACCGTCGCCGTTGCCGCCGTCGCCTCACCCGTTATCCTCCCCGGACCTTGGCTAACAGTGGCCGTATAATACAGACTAACCGCTGTCTGACCCACCGCCTGGTCGCTGCTGATGGTATCGCCGGTCGTCGGTACCGGGACAATGGCTTGTGCACTCTCAAAGATGCTCTTGAACTCGGCAGTCGGTGTCGGCACTCCGCAGAGCGCATTCGAGGCGGTTGCGATCACGTCCCGGTAAAAGAAGACGTCGCGCTGTGACCGGAGTCCGTGGGCGAACAGACACTCGAGGCAATACGGCCATTCGGCGAAGAAGGAGCCGCCACACATGCCTTGGTAATTCAACATGTCAGCATATGGTCCAGGGCCAGGACAATCCCGAACTACTTACATATCTGATGAGCCTTGAGAGCCAGTGGTGAAGTCCCATTCGGCGTGCACAGAATCTCGATGGTCTCGATTTCAATACACGGAGGGACGGGTTTAGGGGCAGTATCAGCCAACGGGTGACAGACGGCATACTCATAATCCCCTTCGAAAGGCGGCGGTAGCGGTATCCCACCGCGCCCGGGAGGATGCGCAAACGATTGAGATGCAGCAAAGGCGAGCGCCAGGAGTGCTGGCCATATCCGGAACGAGGGCATCGCAAGATCCCTCGCTATTCGGTCAGTGTACGGGGGAATCTCCAAACCTCGACGGTGAAATCAGTAAACAAACAAGGACGGAAAGTTTGGCTAGGTTTATGGAAGCTCCACGCCTCGAGATATATATTCAGTTTCGCAATCGCCGAGCTTGGGAGGAGCAAAAGGTCACGATGCTATAGCCATGGCGCATGGAGGGGAACTTAAACCGAAGGCTCTTATCAGCATTGTCAACGGTACGAAGGCAAGCCCACCGGGAGGCATGTGAACTTTCAGTTGCCTTCGACGCCGTGCAACTTTGGCAAAGAGCCACTTGACATCCATTGTGCCGGTGGAAAGGATGCAAGAGGATGTTTATTTACTCGGAAGAATCTGTTCGTGAACTCCGTGCCACCAAGAACTCGTTTAAAACCCCGGAATTTTAACTTATCTGGAGCAACACCGCCAGACATTGATTGGCTTGAGCGCTTACTCGGGTTCTCAAAAGATAGGAAAGAGGTAAAGACCTCAACGGTGGGCTTGCGAGCCGTTTTACCGGCATTGACCTGGGCGGAGTTACGGGCGCCGTCCCTGGCGGATTTGATAGATAAGTGACAAATGTCGAGGACCCTGAGCAAAAGTCAACTCCAAGGCAATTTCGACCATCCACCTTGGTTCCTCAGACTCATCCAGCGCTTGAGCTGTGATGGCCCTCATTTGAACCGCCTGATCGTGGTGGTATTCTGATCATAGTCACGAGGAATAAGAAGAGATACGGTCCCGAAAGGAGAGGTATCGCGGGTCTTGGGAAGGCCTGGTTGATGTGCTGGGTAAATGCCCAGCTGTCCCGTGAGTTCGGTTCAACACGACGGCATGGAGGAACAAAGAATGGGTGAGCTGACGGGTAGATACCACAGAAAGATATATACGAGAAAAGTGAGAATATGAGGAAGTAACGGTGAAAATTCCCGCGACTAGGACGTAGCCGGTCAGTCGACTCTTTGGCGGATGAGATGCTGAAATTTCTCCAACTCCCCGCCGCAACTTCACAAACGACGACGAGTTGTGAGCAGAGATGGGAGAAGAAATATAACTCTCATCGAGATTTACCTCGCACCCTGGGAAGGAAGATTAGGTAAGGTCAGCGATGATGACAAAAATCCGAAGAAGGTTATCGAGGTCGTTGTTGCGCGTCTTGGCAGGATCCCGCTTGGCAGCCCCGCGGAGCAAAAGTGTCCTCTCTTTCCGTCACACCTTCCTCATTGACATAAAAGTACAGACTTTTCCAGTATCTAACAGTTGCGCTAAAGTTTTGGCATCATCCTCCAAAGGCGTCTTTCGCACAGCCGGTCTCACCGAACAGATGACTTGCGTCTCAAGCATGGTGGGCATTTTCCGGTTCCGATAGTCTCCATCTTGCATACTTCGTATGTGCAGCTGGGATAGCAAACACATTCACAAGCCGCTCTCCAAGATGCCCTGTACAGAGTTTGAGTGGACGATAAATCCGTATTCCGTCATGCCACTGTTTGCGTAAGGAATTCTGATTCGACTCGATTGTGTAACGATACCACCCTGCTTTTGCTCACACAGAGCCCAGTAGAGGGCTGTGGTCCCCGGTCACGGCCAATCCCACCTCACGATCACAGCGCCCGGAGCATCTTGAGCTGACGCCTCCTCACCCAGGACCACTATGATCGCCGTAGGGAAGTCCCGTATCCCCTGTAATCCTACCACACCTGCATCCCTTCATCCTCTAGAATAGCATTTAGCTCGCTCCAGCTCACCTCCCTGAGCAGCATTGTTGCATTATGAGAAGCTGGCCAGCTAATATCATTCCCCCTCGACCCCGAGCCACATAATCATGCATCTTTTACTCATAGCGCTGGCGATGAAAGAATCCAGCAGTGACGCCCTCCTCATTACCAAAAGCTCGAGGTTTACATCTAATACCTAGACACACACCCTGACGACGAGTTGGGCCTCTCATCTTACCCGCATCGAATCACGACGTTTCTCTGCCTCATTGTCCATTGTCTTCAGCCTCACGCCGCACCGTTATGCTTGACGTTCACCAAACGGACCTCATGCTTGGTTGCCATGCTACTTTTCTCATATAGTCCCTAAACCGTATCAACACTTCGAAGAACAACATGTTAGCCTTAGGCGAGCCTCTAGTGCTGCTGCACTGGTCTTTTGCAATAATATCATGCGCGACAGCAACCCATGCCCGAGTCCAGGCCGTCTATGAGCGTTTTCAAGCTGTCGAAACGGGCGCTTTGCTGTCCCCTCGATACTATCCCCCTTCGCCAGCGCAGCCGCTGCGGAAAAGGCAAAGCGTTTGTGCTGATAACCAGCACTCTTGTACGTCATATCACAGCTTGGGAAGACTCGTTGTTTTAGTATTGTCAAATATTCGTGATTTGATCTAATTTTATGGCTCTGCTTCAGGTTTCGAGCTTCCAAATAATATAGGCGACCGTTCTTGTTGCGCTAATGATCAGTAGTACGTCTCCGGCCTCACTCAATCTGAGTATTCCTTATTTGTCATATTGCTCGTGAACCCCCTTCAATGCCCACAAAGCCCAGGAGTACCATAGACCTCTAAGACAGGCATACTAACTCCGGGAACAGCTGCATTGTTGACCCAAGCGACTCAACGAAACCAGGATGCTGTAAGATAGGCTCGACATGTGGCTCACCGTGCTCGGAATCACAGGTAGCATGTCCCTTGACCACAACAATCACATCGGCTGGGACCACTTCGACTTCACTCGTACCTGCATGTTGCCCGCGTCGATGTCCCCAGACTTCCATGTTTGGCTGTCCCGAATCGCTCGGGAATGGGTGTTGCTCCTACGGCTCAACATGTGCCCCAAACAAAAAGTGCATCTCCACGATACAGGAGTCTACCACAGAGTCTGCGATCGTCCCTCTTGTCCCGGATGGCTGCACCACCAGCCAGATCAGCTGCGCCCCGAGTCTCGGCGGCGGTTGCTGCGCTGTGACCCAGAGCTGCGTCAGACTCGAGGGCGACCCCCCGGTGGGATGTGCCGAGGTCACTGTCACCCCGACCGCGAGCGGCATCACCGCCGTCCCGACTGCTGATGCCGGACTGAGTGCGGGCGCCAAGGCCGGCATCAGTGTTGGCGTTATTGTCATAGCTGGCTTGGTGATTGGCGTTGCGACATACATGTGCCTACGACGCCGAAGGCGGAGAAGAAGTGTAGCTGCTAGTAGCAGTGCCAATCCCCGCCCTGGGAATGTTGTTGGCGCATTGATAGGAGGGGGCGCCGGCGGGCGGGACATGACGGATCTTAACTCTGACTCGGTATCTCGCCCGGGCGTGGGTTTACCCGGCGTTGCGCAGGATTATTTCGGCCCGGACCCACAGATCGGCCCGTACTCGGACGCCCATCACGCTCAGCTATCTCCCGGGGCCACTCCGGGTGCGGCGGAAAGAGGAGGCGTCCCAATTATGCCGCATGGCCCAGGCGACATCGCCGCACCGGTTGAGATTGACTCCAGAGAGGCGCAGACAAGTCCAGGGACACTCGTATC